CTCCCCTCCAAGAAAAATCCCATATCCTCCAGTGATATCTCCTCACCTCCTTAGGCAGAGATAGCCAGACTTCTGGCCCAGCATTGTGTTCACAGGTCTGGAGTCTTCACCAGCAGGAACCTCCACATGGTAACGAGGACTAGTCTCTATCTCTAGCTTGTCCATCTGTTCTATAGTCTTCTGGGTTTCTAGGGCTAATTCTTTATGAACTCTGGAATAAAATGATTTTTATATACACAGTGTAAGCAATTACATATTTAAAAAAAGTTTAATCTAACGCAAAACATCTAAGATTACGAAATTGATGAAGACATATTAAATGTAATGTATCATTCAAGTTTTCATAAAAGAGATACATGTAGTTATTCACAATGACGTTTATTTGACAATATCAAACTGAAACCAGACTCAGTTATTCACAAAATTTTTGACACAAAAAACTAAGAGTCTGAAATGCTTCTCGTAAAATCAATTAAAACACATTACTTTAAAACCATAATACAACATTCATTTTATGAAAGAATTTACAGAAATAAAGAGAAAAAACAGCCCCAAACTTCTTACCCTTGTACACTAGCAGAAATATTCGATACAAAATCATCGATGTCCTCTTTACTGAACCTATCCTGCCCCATGTGAAAGAATGCTCTATAAGCATGCAGCATCCCAAGAAAGGGATCCAATAGTGCAGTCTTCCTCTTGTATTGTACTGCATTTAGTGCTGTGAAGTAGTGAAGTGCTGTCTGGAAAAAAAGAGGTTGACCTTTACTCAATATGCTATCTTAAAAGACTTACTGAGAATATAATACAAAATGTCATTTCTGAAAACAGTTTAACAGGTTAACCCCTTGTGTTGTAAGACATTAAAAAACAGATTTATATGTCCAGTTTTATGGGTACATGTTATACATCAAAACTGCATAGAGTGCTGCAGTACAGTATTGAAAACCTGGCTGGGTTAATAAACAGTGCACATAACACAAAATATCATTTTTAATGTAACAGTTGCTGGCTAAAACCATCTGCTTTTCAGCTCACACTTTTCCTTTTAAGATTACCAATTTTAAAGGCCATTTTGCTAAATGCAAGTTTATTGAAAAAACTAATTTATCAAGAATGATATACAATGAGTCCCCTGAAATATCACCTGATGAAACTTCTTTCTGGCTATGTAGACTTCCTCACATGCCTCTTGCTTCAGTTTCTCACTTTCTTTCTTCCTTATCTTCATGTGTTTCAGCATTGCTTGCTCCATGTCTTAATAAAATATAATTCTTGTTAAAAACACAGGGCAATTTGTTTGCTTTTTAAACATATTTGAAATTATAGGCCAAGTATATATAAATACATTTAAAATTAAAACATTAGTGTTAATCACAATCATGTATTTTTTGTTTTTAAAACAAAAAGAAATAATACTTAAGACAATTACAACAAAAATTACTTAAACAAAATCACTAACAAGTCTCACCATGAGTCGCAATTTGGTACATCTCATACATTGTGGCAATCTCTGAAATAAAAAAAAATCAGAGAATGAATCAAATAGTAATTTATGCTTTGTAGATTTTTTTTATTTCTGAAAAATTCAGATTGATAATTAACTAAAGATACTAACCTGAACCTGAACGTCAATTTTCAGATCTACATAAGTGCACACTTATCGCAATCTTGTTTGTCAATAGCAAGCTTCTTTGTAGTTAACCACACCAATCATAAACTACCATCCAGTCATCCTAATTTATTGGTTTTCATGAAAGAGCGCATCACATGTAGCTAACAGACGCATGAACTATTTGCAGTTGGTTTGGTATATATACACATCAGTCAAATGCCAACGAATTCAAGACATGACATGCATTCATGTATGGACATTTTACAAATGAGAAATGTCGTCTTGTTCTTCTCTGAATCTCAGGACAGATTTTAATAATTTTTTAATTAAATTGATGTATTTGTCATCAGCATTCAACTTTATAATTTACCTGCTATGTCTGCCTGAAGAAACTTATTCAATGGGTACATCATCCCATCTGATAACTGAGCAGCAAGGATTTGTTGTATAGAACACAGCTGGAAAACATGAATATTGTAAATATTATTTTAAAAAACTTAGAAAACCTATATGTTAATAGAATTGATATAAGAAGATGACAGCAGTTCAATACTGATAAAAGAGAATACTTTACCTCTTCCACATGAACTGAAAACTGTTTCAGTGTGGAGGAAAGTATACTGTCTTCAGTTTCCAGTGGAAACTCCTAAAAGAAAATAATAAATAGATCAATTTACTGATAAATTGAAATAATAAAAATGAGCATGACATATTAATTATATAAATAAAAATTCTTCTTACTATTATTATTATCATTATTAATTTCAATACAAAGGACTGTAAAAATATCCAGCAGTAAAAATATTATGACACCAAATTTCTTCATAAAATAGCATCATAAAAATGTAATCTATATTCAAAACTGAAAAAAAAATGTATCACACATTTGATTTTGAATGTGCAACTTTTATATCTAAAACAGAATACAGATGTGATAAAGAAAAAAATTGTTGTTCTTTACAGTTATTATGAATTTTCTTTTTAACTCAATAATTAATTAAATTTACACTAGAATGAAGTCAACTCACCATGGTGGAATAAGCTTGAAGATGCTGAGATAAGTTCTGCAGTCCCAATGTCAAGTCATTCTGAAAGATTTTACAAAATTATGTAACAAGTCAAACTTATCACTGAACCAAAAGCAAATATCTGTGCAGAAAATGAGACACTGACATACATCAATTTTAAAGTACTCATCACTGCAGGAAAAACTTATAATAACAATCTCTGATATAAAACTGTTTATTTCTTTAATTTTTTACACTTCTGAAGATCTTTATCTAAATATAAAACCAGTATGCTTTATTTTTCATATCAATATCACAACAGTTTATACATTACCATTAAAATATTTTGAAATGGTTAAATAACCTTTTCCATACCTTATAAGATTTATATGTACCTTATAACAACATTTAATACAACAGTTCCCCTAACTATTACAAAGCCAATGTTGCAACAGTTACATTACATGTTACAATGGCAATGATACAACAGTCACATTACCTGTGCATTTACAATCTTCTGACAGCACTCATGTAAGTTGGAAGTATATCGCTTCAGTCTCTTGGCGTCACGCTCAAAGACATTCAACAGACTGCGTGTCTGAAAGACCATGAAAATAATACATACATTTGTTTCATATTATAAGAAATAATAAGATATTATCCTTAAAATTAAAAAAATCATTGTGCTTTTTATGGTGATATATTATACATACACAAATTCGTTCAACAAGTTTCTTTTTTTTTAGAATGTATTTGCTTTTTTTTCAAAGAAGGGATAAATCAAAATGTTTTGAACCCAAGTACAGAAATCATGTGATTATTTGAGCCATTCAATTCAATTGAAGTCAAGTCAGCTTTAAAAAAAAGGAAGAAAAAGAAAAACATCACACCGAGTCAATATATAAGCCGGCTGACTCACTGAACCAAATCACATGATACAAGATGTCTATTTTTATATTACTTACATGTATGTCAAACCAGAAAACAAAATGTGTACATTGCATGCATTTATTACAGACGCCCTAATATTTACATAATGAAATTAAAACACACCTAATACACTTGCAAAGACTGACAGAAAATAAACAGAGATAATCAATATGTTTGCTGATCTATTTATAGCTCTGTCCCCAGCTTACACACAAAATGAGGAAAAATTGTCTAGGGTAAAATGCTATACTAGTATGTCTGTAGGCTGTGAAACAAATTCTGATAAAGATCTTGACTGCTACCTAAACAATCATATACATGTATCATTTACATCTGGCATTTATAAAACAATATATAAGGATGATACCAAGGACAGGAATTCACTATTTTGAGAAAAAGGACAACTTTTCTGTACCATTTTAATTCTCCCCTTCTAACTGTTACATAACTGTTACAATACTAAGCAGCAACTATAAGATTACCTGTTACAATAACAATGCAACAACTACAACATATCTGTTACAATACCAATGTTGCAACTATAACATTACTAGTACATGTTGTAATGTAAAGGTGTAATATAGTCCTAAACTTCATTACCCTATGGCTGGGATCATGGTATAAAAATGATATACGACACATAGCTACTTGTAGATATTTTTATTACAATTTTTGTCTTCTGCAAACGGGGACAGGAAAATGTCTAATATGCAAAAGATTTGAGAAATTCATCAATAATGAGAAGTTCTTTGAAACAAATGTTAAAGGGATAATAACTCTTCGTTTTGGCCAAAAAATGAATTTTCCTGGAGTAAACAACAATTTTCCCATACTTACCAATGGTTAAGAATCCATTTATACATTCAAAGTTAGTCCCTGGTTTTTTTCTAAAAAGTTTGGTTTTTTGTTAAAATCTCTTAAGAGATTTTAACAGAGTATAGCCATCAATGGAGGTCACGTGGTCTAAAGACAAGCTCAGTTATCAGAAAAAATAGCTATAACTGCCGTTTTTGTGATAAAACAGAATATATTATATTTCTATGAGTCATTCACAATGTTTTTTTTTTTTTTTTTTTTTTTTTGTGAAATATGGATCTCATACGAAGAGTTATTATCCCTTCAACCTTTCTATTGTAAACACATGTAAACGAAGGCTACTAGTACCAAATATACTTGATGCCTATAATTAAATGATTGGTAATTTACAAATGACCTACAGGCCATTTGAATAATTAATAAATCAAAATGTGCTATAATCCTGATAGAGAAATCAATTTTTTATCTAAAAGACAGAAACTGTGTCATGATCTCCAAGGTTCTGTTGGAGCTGGTCATGGCAGTGGTGATAAATATAAATATAAATATAAAGGAGTTATTCATCTCTGGTAAAGTGCATTTACCCAAACAAGGTTGGGAATTAGAACAATGTATTAACACAGAATAGGAAGTGATTCCAAAGTCCCAAAAGCTGAAATAACCATAAAACAGCGCAAAAAATCCTCGTCTTTTTTTTTTTTCCTCAAAAATCCGTAGCTGTTATAAATATAATTCCAAGCACCACACATGCCTCTGCTTGGGTTGTATTCTCCCCTGAGGGAGGTGGGATAGATTTAGGATAAAACAGATCCATTAACACCAGGTACAAACTGTAAAGCCAGCTGATCTTCTTTATCAGACATATCAAGCTATAAAACTTAAACACATATCACCTTGCTGTCAGCAGAGGCTGAGGGAAATTGACATTTGGCATCAAAAATCTAAAGGCTAATAATCATGAATAAGAAATGCTGAGAAGAAACATACAATCCAACATAACATTAACAATGTAAAAACGCACACTGCACTCAGTGCCATGCATTGAATAACAAGGAAGATAAGTGGAAAACTGAGAAACCTCTGCGAAAATTTGTCTCATTTATTTTAACGCTCACTTACAGTACAGTTCTCAGTCTGTCCTAGAACATATACATGTACTGTTTTTCTCTTTTGATGACAAATGTTCTTAATCTATTCTAGGACATTCTGAAGGACTTCCCAAAATCAGTTCTTGAACTGTTAGATTCATTACAGAACAACATAAGAACTGTAAAAAAAAAAAAAAAAAAAAAATGTTCTACTGGTAGAATAGATTGAGAACCGTAAGTGAACAGTAAATGAGACAAATTTTCACAGAGAAATACATATCAGTATCTTTGCCATAAGTTTACAATATAACTATACCACCAAATCAAGCCTTATGTCATATGTTCATATTTTCTCCACCTGTGGTGAAGCCAAGCAGATCGATTTTGTAGAGTTGTAATCTTCTTTTTGTTAATCTTCTTTCCTTCTGCAAACCTGGACTATTCCTGCTACAGTTTTTTGTAGGTCCAGAACATAAATGTCTATAGTCAAGGTCATATATGTTGACTACTTTGACAAAATCTATAAATGCATATATAGTAATCAAAATTATTTGAGAGTAACCAAGAGCAGTCAAAATTGGCTAGAACCAATCTTAGAAGTACAAACAAGCTCCAGACCTACTACAGTAGTCCGAAGTTTCTGTTTCAGAATCTATCACTTTCAACAAGGATTGAAAAACAATAGGAAAGATCATAAATCATATTATAGAATAATTAAGCAGGAGATTAACCAGATACTAGTATGTTGTATAACATTGAACATTATATGACCTTGATGTGGAAGCATATATACTCAGTACTGCATATACATAGAGATATGTTTATCAAACACAGGCCATTCACTGGGTGCCTCCACAGCTTAATGATTAACTCACTCCTGTCTAGCCAGGATAATAAAAGTGTCAAAAAGCTTTCCAACCCCAATGTAAGTGATACCACAATATACAGTAGCCAGGATGATAAAAGCTGTATTAGTCAGAAAAATACTAGCAACCCTCAGTCAGAATGCACTGTGCCCTTAGTGATATATCATAATATAAACTTTAAAGTTAAAACTTCTGTGTGAAAGAGACGACTTCTCTCCAGTCAGCTCAAGGGAGCATTTAGAAAAATATGTTTTCTAAGTAACAATACTCCTTCATACACCAACTTAACTAGAGTAAATAATATTTTACAAGTACCAGTAAGTCAAATCACATAAGTTGATCATATAATTCATCAAAAGAAAAAGAACAGATGACACAGAAATGTTCCTCAAAAAAAAATAATAATAATACTATAAAGTAGGCTGTCAGATCTGAAATGTTCCTCAAAAAAAAAAAATACTATAAAGTAGGCTGTCAGATCTTTTCAGAGAAAATCTAAAACTACTTTTACTCGGCATTACTAAAATGCACATTGGAAATGATGACTCAGGATTTGAGTAAACATAAGAAATGATCATTTACAAGATGCCATGAAGCATAAAAGAGAAACATACATTTACTTTTCTGCACATACAGTGCATAAACTGAACTAACTGCAGAGTCCACATTAGGGGAGACTGGTATTTTTTCAGTAGCAAGCATTCCCATGATTGTTTTTTTTTCTTTCTTTCTTTTTAAATATGTACTTTCACTGATCATGCAATAGTTAGAAAGGGTGTCTTTACAAAAAATAAACAGAGCAGCACCATGCACTGCCACATAGGAAAAACTATGTGTACATGTACTCAGTAAGTCTGTGTGCATGCTTGAAATCTGCATTGCGATATACTGGCTATATGAGAGTTACCTCACGTACACAATGTAACAGGACAACAGTAACTGTATGAAAAAGCAAACAGGGGTCTTAGAGCATTTTTTTCCGTTTGGGTAAATTTGCTTTTTAACTCCAAGCTAAAGACCTGGGACATTCATCAGCTCAAAATCCACACATACTGTACANATTAGTTCTGTAAGTTTCAAGCCAAAAGAAAAAACAGTTTTCCACTTATCGTGCTATCGGTAAAAGTGCACGGCGACGGCGACGGCGGCGACGACAGACGCAGATGACGGCTATATGTACAGACACATCTGTGTCTGTACATAAAAAGTTGAATAGGTTCATCTCTATTGTAAGATTATTAAAATAAGCACTTTTACATGTCCTGCGTTATGGGTATACTTATAGTATATTCATTTTAATTAAATTTGCATTGAGTGCTGAACTACTTAAAACCTGTCTGAAAGACAAAATATCATTTAAATATCTGCTGGCTAAAACTCTCAACTTCCTATTAATGAGTACCATTTTACTTTTAAGGATTTTTGTATTAAAATACAAGTTTATTGGAAAAGTTGATTTGTCAGGAATGAGTCCCTTGAAATATCACCTGATGAAACTTCTTTCTGGCAATGTAGACTTCCTCACATGCCTCTTGCTTCAGTTTCTCACTTTCTTTCTTCCTTATCTTCATGTGTTTCAGCATTGCTTGCTCCATGTCTTAATAAAGTAATAATTCTTGTTAAAAACATGGGGCAATTTGTTTGTCTTTTTAACATATTTGAAATAACAGGCTGAGTATAGTACATAAAAACAAGATCAAAGTCAAAAGTAAAACTTCGGTATTAAATTGTATGTTTTTTTAATTTGTATATTCAAATATATTTTTCACTGAGAAATGCTCAGTCCTTGTGTTAAAATAATACAGGAAAAATATATTTTAAAAAAAGCAAAAAAATCTCACCATGAGTCGCAATTTGATACATCTCATACATGGTGGCAATTTCTGAAATTAAAAAGAAAAAAGAAAATGAAAGAAATAATATCTCATACCTTTTTTTAAAATTCAGATTGATAACTTAGATACTAATTCTTAAGCAACCTGAACGTCAATGTTCAAATCTACATGCGTGCACACTTAACGCAATCCTAATTTTCAATAGCAAGCTTTTTTCCTGGTTTTGTTAAAGGGTGTGTCACATAGCCGGCAGACCCATGTAGTATTAGTTCTTGGTGTGGTATATATCCACGACAATCAAATGCTTCTGAAGTTCAAAAGTGACAAGCATTTGAATTTCATGTGTGGAAATTTTTAAATTTTTAAAATTTGCAAATGAAAAAGCTGTTTTGGTTTGTCTCTCTTTTTTAAATTTAATTGATGTATCATTCAACTTTACCTGCTATGTCTGCCTGAAGAAACTTATTCAATGGATACATCATCCCATCTGATAACTGAGCAGCAAGGATTTGTTGTATAGAACACAGCTGGAAAACAAACGTGAATATCGTAAATATTATTTAAAAAACTTAGAAAACCCAAATGTTAATAGAACTGATATAAGAAGATGAGAGCAGTTCAATACTGATAATGGAAAATACTTTACCTCTTCCACATGTACTGAAAACTGTTTCAGTGTGGAGGAAAGTATACTGTCTTCTGTTTCCAGTGGAAACTCCTAAAAGAAAATAATAAATAAATCAATTTACTGATAAATTGAAATAATAAAAATAATAATGACATATTAATTATATAAATAACAATTCTTCTTCTTCTTATCATTATTATTAATTTCAATACAAAAGACTGTACAAATATTCAGCTGTAAAAATATGACACTAAATTTTTTCATAAAATAGCATCAGCAAAAAATGTAATCTATATTTAAAACTGAAAAAAAAATGTATCACACATTTAATTTTGAATGTGCAACTTTTATATCTGAAACACAGTACACATGTGATAAAGAAAAAAAATTATCGTTATTCTTCACAGTTATTATCAATTTTCTCTTTAACTCAATAATTAATTAAATTTACACTAGAATAAAGTCAACTCACCATGGTGGAATAAGCTTGAAGATGCTGAGATAAGTTCTGCAGTCCCAATGTCAAGTCATTCTAAAAGATTTTACAAAAATTATGTAACAAGTCAAACTTATAACTGAACCAAAGGCAAATATCTGTGCAGAAAATGAGACACTGACATCAATTTTAAATTACTCATCATGCAGTCAAATTACAATGCAGCAAAAACTTATAATAATCTTGTGAAATAAAACTGTTCTTTCTTTAATTTTTTACACTTCTGAAGATCTTTATCTAAATATAAAACCAGTATGCTTTATTTTTCATATCAATATCACAACAGTTTATACATTACCATTAAAATATTTTGAAATGGTTAAATAACCTTTTCCATACCTTATAAGATTTATATGTACCTTATAGCAACATTTAATACAACAGTTCCCCTAACTATTACAAAGCCAATGTTGCAACCGTTACATTACCTGTGCATTTACAATCTTCTGACAGCACTCATGTAAGTTGGAAGTATATCGCTTCAGTCTCTTGGCGTCACGCTCAAAGACATTCAACAGACTGCGTGTCTGAAAGACCATGAAAATAATATATACATTCAATTGTTTCATATTATAAGAAATAATAAGATATTATCCTTAAAATTAAAAAAATCATTGTGCTTTTTATGGTGATATATTATACATACACAAACTTGTTCAATAAGTGTCTTTCTATTTTTGATATATATATATATATATATATATATATATATTTATTTATTTATTATATTTTTTTTCCTCAAAGAAAGGATAAATCACAATGTTTTGAACCCAAGTACAGAAATCATGTGATTATTTGAGCCATTCAGTTCAACTGAAGCCAAGTAAGCTTTAAAAAAAGGAACAAAAAGAAAAACATCACACTGAGTCAATATATAAACCGGCTGACTCACTGAACCAAATCACATGATACAAGATGCCTATTTTTATATTACTTACATGTATGTCAAACCAGAAAACAAAATGTGTACATTGCATGCAGTTGTTAAAGACAACTTAATATTTACATAATGAAATTAAAACACACCTAATACACTTGCAAAGACTGACAGAAAATAAACAGGGATAATCAATATGTTTGCTGATCTATTTATAGCTCTGTCCCCAGCTTACACACAAAATGAGGAAAAATTGTCTAGGGTAAAATGCTTCATATATGTCTCCAGGCTGTGAAACAAATTCTGATAAAGATCTTGCCTGCTACCTAAACAATCATATGCATCATTTACATCTGGCATTTATAAAACAATAAGGATGATACCAATGACACGAATTCACTATTTTAAGAAAAAGGACCACTTTTCTGTACTATTTTAATTCTCCCCTTCTAACTGTTACATAACTGTTACAATACCAAGCTGCAACTATAGGGTTACCAGTTACAATACCAATTAATGCAACAACTACAGGGAGTTAGGTCGATCTAAATCTAAATCTCTGGATCGATCTAAATCTCTGGGAATGCACCCTATGGCTGGGATCATGGTAAAAAAAATGATATATGACAGGTAGCTACTTGTAGATATTTTTTATTACAATTTTTGTCTTCTGCAAACAGGGACAGGAAAATGTCTAGTACAATAGATTTGGGAAATTTATCAAAAACGAGGAGTTCTTGAAAACAATGTTAACTTTTCTATTGTATACACATGTAAATGAATGCTACTAGTACCAAATATACTTGATGCCTATAATTAAATGACTGGCAATTTACAAATGACCTACAGGCCATTTGAATAATTAATAAATCAAAATGTGCTATAATCCTGATAGAGAAATCAATCATTTATTCAAAAGACAGAAACTGTGTCATGATCTCCTAAGTTCTGTTGGAGCTGGTCATGGCAGTGGTGATAAATATAAATATAAATATAAAGGAGTTATTCATCTCTGGTAAAGTGCATTTACCCAAACAAGGTTGGGAATTAGAACAATGTATTAACACAGAATAGGAAGTGATTCCAAAGTCCCAAAAGCTGAAATAACCATAAAACAGTGCAAAAAATCCTCGTCTTTTTTATTTTTTCCTCAAAAATATGTAGCTGTTATAAATATAATTCCAAGCACCACACATGCCTCTGCTTGGGTTGTATGCTCCCCTGAGGGAGGTGAGATAGATTTAGGATAAAACAGATCCATTAACACCAGGTACAAAATGTAAAGCCAGCTTATCTTGTTTATCAGGCATATCAAGTTATAAAACTTAAACACATATCACCTTGCTGTCAGCAGAGGCTGAGGGAAATTGACATTTGGCATCAAAAATCTAAAGGCTAATAATCATGAATAAGAAATGCTGAGAAGAAACATACAATCCAACATAACATTAACAATGTAAAAAATGCACACTGCACTCAGTGCCATGCATTGAATAACAAGGAAGATAAGTGGAAAACTGAGAAACCCCTGCGAAAATTTGCCTCATTTATTTTAACGCTCACTTACAGTACAGTTCTCAGTCTGTCCTAGAACATATATACTGTTTTTCTCTTTTGATGAAAAAATGTTCTTAATCTGTTCTAGGACATTCTGAAGGACTTCCCAAAATAAGTGAACAGAGAAATACAGAGAAATACATATCAGTATCTTTGCCATAAGTTTACAATATATCTATACCACCAAATCAAGCCTTATGTCATATGTTCATATTTTCTCCACCTGTGGTGAAGCCAAGCAGATTGATTTTGTAGAGTTGTAATCTTCTTTTTGTTAATCTTCTTTCATTCTGCAAACCTGGACTATACCTGCTACAGGTTGTTTTAGGTCCAGAACATAAATGTCTATAGTCAAGGTCATATATGTTGACTACTTTGACAAAATCTATAAATGCATATAGTAATCAAAATTATTTGAGAGTAACCAAGGGCAGTCAAAATTGGCTAGAATCAATCTCAGAAGTACAAACAAGCTCCAGACCTAGTACGAAGTTTCTGTTTCAGAATCTATCACTTTCAACAAAGATCGAAAAACAATAGGAAAGATCATAAATCATATTCTAGAATAATTAAGCAGGAGATTAACCAGATACTAGTATGTTGTATAACATTGAACATTATATGACCTTGATGTGGAAGCATATATACTCAGTACTGCATATACATAGAGATATGTTTATCAAACACAGGACATTCACTGGGTGCCTCCACAGCTTAATGATTAACTCACTCCTGTCTAGCCAGGATAATAAAAGTGTCAAAAAGCTGTACAAACCCTACTGTAAGTGATACCACAATATACAGTAGCCAAGATGATAAAAGCTGCATTAGTCAAAAAATACAGCAACACTCAGTCAGAATGTATTGTGCCCTTAGTGATATATCATAATATAAACTTTAAAGTTAAAGTTTCTGTGTGAAAGAGCCGACTTCTCTTCAGTCAGCTCAAGAGGATGCAGGGAGCATTCAGAAAAATATATTTTCTAAGTAATAATACTCCTTCATACACCAACTTAACTAGAGTAAATAATATCTTACAAGTACCAGTAAGTCAAATCACATTAGTTTATCATATTATTCATTGAAAGAAAAAGAACAGATGACACAGAAATGTTCCTCAAAAAAAAAAAAAAAAAAATACTATAAAGTAGGCTGTCAGATCTTTTCAGAGAAAATCTAAAACTACTTTTACTCGGCATTACTAAAATGCACATTGGAAATAATGACTCAGGATTTGAGTAAACATAAGAAATGATCATTTACAAGAAGTCATACTATCATGAAGCATAAAAGTGAAACACACAACATGTACTTTTCTTCACATACGGTACAGTGCATAAACTGAACTACATTGCAGAGTCCACATTAGGGGAGTCTGATATTTTTTCATTAGCAAGCACTCCCATTGTTTTTTTTCTTTCTTTCTTTTTAAATATGTACTTTCACTGATCATGCTATAGTTAGAGAGGGTGTCTTTACAAAAATAAACAAAGTAGCACCATGCACTGCCACATAGGAAAAACTATGTGTACATGTAAGTCTGTGTGCATGCTTGAACTCTGTATTGCGACATATACTGGCTACACAATGTAACAGGACAACAGTAACTGTATGAAAAAGCAAACAGGAGTCTTAGAGCATTTTTTCCGTTTGGGTAAATTTGCTTTTTAACTCCAAGCTAAAGACCTGGGACATTCATCAGCTCAAAATCCACACATACATGTACAACTTATAGTTCTTCAAATTTTCTATTCAACTGATTTTCCCTTCTCTTCATAAATCTGTCACAGCAATCTAAGTTCTGACTGCCTTCAACAGGAAAAAGGAGTCCAGTAAAATAAATTAAACACCACATTCCGTACAAAACTGCACGTTATGACATTGGCAACGACTTGTCACTGAACAAGCAAGCAATGGTGTCTTGTGATTAATTGACCTGCATTACTAGCGAAGGAAATGTCTATTTACCTGTGGGCTATCTTCGAATGCATCCTCAAGGTGAAGCTTCTCAATCTCTGGCATAATTTCAAGTTGTCAAAATCAGCAGCATTTGCAGTAAAAAGGTGTCTTGGGGAGACTTCAACTACTACACTTGAAGTACTGTAGTAGGGGGCAGGGCAAATGTTATGACTTTGCAAGACACACCCAAGGTTAAGTTTATAAGATTTTTTTCGATTTCTCGTGAAATAGGTAAAATTCCATTGTTTCTTTAATTATAAGTGGCCTTTAGGTAAAATATAAATGTTTCTAAACAGTTTAATTGATCTTAGACCCAACAGAAGTTCAGCAATTCAAAAAAGAAATGTGAAAATTCCAAGATTCCCGAACAGCTGTCTGAATATCGACAGCAATTTTGTTTCCATTTTTATGACGTCACTCCATCATGCCGGTCGAAAATTGGGAAGAAGAGGGATTGGAAAGAATACCTAACTTAGAGCTTGCTCAGTACAAGTTTTTGCTCTTAACTGACAAGTACAAAAATGACAAAGATGTCAAGAACAAACTCATGGAAGGGATCAAGGCTGATAGTAATTATAACATTTAAAATTTCAAAATTACAAGTAGACTTTTTCCAAATTTTGCAATGTCACGGATTTTGTCAATTTCTTTTGTTTTGTTTTGTTTAGTTTATGGCTCAAAATTTGTGTTACAGTACTACGGAGTTAAGATTAATACTGATATTATAACTGCAAATATGAGGTATTATAAAATACGGTATAAAATGTAAATAAAATTCCCTGAGTGATAATGGATCATGAGAGCCCCTTGAAGTTGAAAGGGGTTACTGGTCATGAATGCCAAATATGAGAACATTAGATATTTATTTCATGCTAAAGAATTGTCAAATTCTCAATATTCCAGATATGTCTCCCTTCTATGAACAAGTTTGTCAAGAGATGGGATGGAAGGTTGACGCTAAACTGTTGCAGAATATGAAGAAAGCAAACGAAGATGAACTCAAAAAGCTAGATGCGGCTATTGAAGATGCTGAGAAGAATTTGGGAGAAACAGATGTCAGAGATGCCATGTTGGCAAAGTCTTTATATCTCAGTAAAATAGGAGATAAGGTGTGAAAGAAGCAGAACTTAACAAGTTCTATATCTCTGTTTAAAAAACATAAATGAAATAATTATTGTAATAAATTTAATGTTTTCATAACAAATAATGGGCAGTTACTATAATTACAAAACTTCACAAATTGATAACTGACAAAAAATACATTGATATTATTGAAATTATTGCTAAAATAATATTTTTAAATAACCAAGTCAGTTCAGTTATTTTTATTTGCAAATTAAATGGAGATTAAAGATGGAATGATTCATCAAAGTTTGTGTTTGACATATGAATTTTAACACTGACGGAAAATGTTTATTGAATTTTTTTAGGAAGCAGCTCTCAGTGAATTCCGCAAGACAAATGAGAAGGCCATAACAGTGGGCAACAGGCTTGATATTGTATTCCATATTCTGCGTATCGGACTCTTCTACCTGGATAATGATCTCATTACTAGAAATATAGAAAAAGCACAAAGGTAAACATTATCATACCCTTTCAGACATGATTAATAAAAGAATGGAAATTTTATTTAATAATCTGAAGAAAAATTAAATGTCATTTTTGCTTTATGCTATGGAATTATTAAAATTGATCAGTTTGCATTAAACTTGAAACTTTATAAGTTAATGTAATGGGTTGTTTAGGGATCGTGTTATTTGGAGATTTTATAAATATATCATTAGTGTCAACTCAGTAAATACTACACAGCATTAGATTTCTGGCTTTAAAATGTTGTAACAGTAATTTAAATACATAGGCATTGATCTTTGTTTCATACATGAACTTTATCACACTTTTCTTTTATGTAGTATTTTAGTATGTTTTTGTTTCATGATATTTTCTACTCTGGCGAATGAGAAATCTTTGTGTGTGTCATTTCAGTCTTATAGATGAAGGGGGAGACTGGGACAGAAGGAACAGACTTAAGGTCTACAGAGGTGTCTACTGTATGTCAGTGCGAGACTTCAAGAATGCCGCTAACTACTTTCTGGAGACTGTGGCAACTTTTACCTCATACGAGTTAATGGACTACAAATCTTTTGTGGCGTACACAGTTATATGTTGTATGATAGCACTGGAGAGGCCAAATCTTAGAGAGAAGGTGAGTGAAGTGACATGTACTTTCACTGGTAAATAAATAAATTGTAGACATTTGATTATTAATTTTCTGGATAACTTGTTACAATTATCATTACATGTATTGTGTGCAAGAATAGAAATTGAGTAAGCTTTGAAATTACATAGATCTTTTTTTTGGAGGGTGCATCAAATTTTAAACAAATCTTTGAATTTTATACATCTTATATTATAATTTTGAACCTCATAATAATGCACTGGATTAATTACAAGCAGGTGAAATTAATTAATATAGGCAGCTTTTTACTCTCAGAAAAAAAATTGGCGTTTTTTATTTTCATTTGTGCCTAAAAGCTATATTAAAAAATATTAATTAATATATTTTAGGTAATAAAAGGCTCTGAGATCCTAGAAGTTCTTCACAGTCTCCCAGAGACCCGACAGTTCTTGTTTTCACTGTACGACTGTCACTATGCCCAGTTCTTTAAGTCATTAGGTGAGCAAATTGATTTAGTTCTATGTCATTTATAACATTTTATTGCAAAGTGAAGTCTACAGTGATGACACTGATCCCATGCTTCAGTGGCTCAAAGGGCGAGTAAGCTCCAATTTTCTTGGCACCGCATGTGAAAATTTATTGTTGAATTATGTAACTACCTTTTTAAAGTGACAATAACCTTAATTTTGACCAAGATATTTTTTGATTTAGCTAAGAAAAAGAGAACAATTTAAAAATCTTGTTATCCCCAAAAAGTATCTTGTTATCAATAATCATCACTCGATCAAGTTCCAAAATTAGAAATAAGAATGCATTTTTCAGAACAATTTTCTTTGAACTCGACTTAATAGTCACATACATACTTTGTATATTTCCTTGTTATTTTGGAGCATGGATGTGAATTTTTATTTGAAAAAAGATATAACATACCTTTTCAAATTTTTTTGTACATCAAGTCCTTTTTCTCCAACCTTTCAGCGGCCACTGAGGAGTTCCTAAAGTATGACCGCCTTTTGTCGCCACACTATCGCTACTATGTGCGCGAAATGCGTATCCTGGCGTATGCACAGCTCCTAGAATCTTACCAGAGTTTGACACTGGACTATATGGCAAGGGCGTTTGGTGTCAGCATTGCATTTATAGACCAGTAAGTCCACTAAATAATTTTTTGTCAAACTAATGATAAATTTAGGTGCACAATATTGAATAACAGATAAGATTTCTAAGTCGATGTTTATGTGGTGATTTTTGGTCTTATAGTGCCATTTTTATACTTGTTATAAACCAGGTGCTATTGTTTCTTTCTTTGGACAAATAGCAAATCATCTTTTGTCAAAGTGAACAGAAATGTTAGGCTAAAAGTTGAAATCAGCTTTCTGTTAGAAGTCGTTTTTTGAGACAGACTTCTGCTTGTTACATAATTGTTCTTAAAATTTTCCTTCAGAGAACTTTCACGATTCATTGCTGCTGGGCGCTTACACTGTAAGATAGACAAAGTTGGTGGTATTGTAGAGACTAACAGACCTGACAGCAAGAACTGGCAGTACCAGGTGAGGCTTAGGGATATGGGGGTTGAAGTTGATACCTTTGAAGGGAATTAATGGACATTAGAAATTTATATAGCAGGAAAAAGGGAGTTCTAAAGTGGTCTGCTAGATATTAATTTTCTCGCTGTTTTAAGATGGGGTATGCCCTTTTTGGTGAATAAAGGAAAATTGTTGAAACTTCCAGGATTTTTTAAGCTATAGAAAGATATGCTTATTGTATACCTTTAAAGTAAATGACTCTTACTTGACTGTAAATTAATATTATGATAATGGTTGAGGCAAAAAAAAAAAATTAATACTGTCAATTTCATTTCACAAAGTTGATATGGATTGTGCTCATATGCTAACACACACTCACATACACGAACAGGCCAGAGTTGAAAATAGACATGTTAGAATAAACAAATATGAGCACTGTGAATTTAAATGTCAGCATATAATCAACACTTTTAAACGTGGCATATGTTTATGTGTACACACATATGCACGCACGCACGCACACCTCCCAATTGAGCATTTCTTTAAAGATGCATTGATATCTTATGGAATGTTTTACTCTTTCCAGGCTGCTATAAAACAGGGAGACTTGTTGTTGAATAGGATACAGAAGCTCAGCAGGATTATTAACATATAATTACTAGACTTGAGGGTCAATCAGATGGAATTATTAAGACATAGACTGTTGGGAAGCGTTACATGCTGTTACATTAGCTTACTGAATTGATAAATGTCAGTGTAAAAATATCAGATTAAATCTGTCAAGATTTCTATTTGATGAGGCGGCTGTCAGATTGATGGAGGTGGAAGAAAAGGAATTCTGAGGAATGTCAGCACTTTATAGAATGGAATGGCGTGCAGTCAATCAACAAGGAAAAACATTTTATTTATTTTTGGTTTAAGGAAATATTTTGCACTGGTTTGTTCAACTGAAATTCTGACTTAAATGCAACGTTCTATCAATGTGCATGAACATTATAAATCAGATTATATTGCTGACCACTTTTTTTGGTAAAAATAAAAGCGTATGTAAAAAAGATGCATTTAAATCCAGTTTATCTTTTTTATCTTGAAAGAAAAGCAAAAGAAGCTCGATACTCTTCATTGAAAAAATCTGATAACAACTCGATGTAATTATCAGTGGTCATTATCTGAGACAAAAAATTATAAACATGCATAAACATTCAAAAATTTAGCAAGTTATTGTTCAATTATATTAAATGGCAAAATATCAAAATTATGGGATGATGAAAATATACTACCAACGACAATGACAAAAACATTGAAAAAGAAGTATCAAAATGTCATTTTTACATGTGGCTGGGGTTTGGAATAAGACAGTGTTATATGTACAGTGTTCATAGTTCTACATTTATCTCGACCAGAATACGAAGGGATTGTAAATAACGGAGACGTATAAGCTAAGATCTTTAGACTTATCCTATTCCAGTCATATTTCCATTCATTGTTATTGCGTGCACGTTTCATCATTTGGTATTTGATCGAGTCTTCGTCGAGCATCGGACTTCGAACACGCTCGCCTACAAAGAACTCGTGAAATCATTTTGTATACCACAGTTCTATACGTCCTCACACTAAAGCAGTAAAAGAAAAAGTTTGACGCATGGTTAACATAGAACAACAATATGAACACTGAGAACAACATTGAACTCCGAGCACGACTGTCTAAATCCTTCCCCTTAAACACATCAAGGATATCCGACTGGATCAGATTAAACCCGCTGGTCAGAAAAATAAAGGCTAGCGTTACGGTTAGAAGCATATATGAAATCCCTCTATTTGTCGATAGTATAATCTCTCGCGATGTGACCAAGGGTGTCGCTATGCTGGAAGTAAGCCGCGTGCCGTCGTTGATGAAATATCTGGTCTGTTTCTTCAGTTCAAACGCTATGAGGATGTTGAGCAGTGGTAATAAAATCACGGGAATTATCCAGTACAGAGATAGAGCAATCCACCTGTGGACCCGCCAGTAACGGAGAGTTGCGGTCCGATTTGTAAGAGTCAGCATCCTTTCGCTATCATCAAACACGTTCCAGCAAACTTTCATTCCACAAACATTGAAATATATATCCGAGGCTAAAATCTCGAGATTTAAAATGAACAGCATAGAGCCTATTACAACTATTACCATGGCCGAATGTTTGACGGTGCAAAAGACCGCGTTCGTGGTTGGAAAGCGCAGTTTCATATAACGCTCAGCGGTCATGGTAGTGACGAGGAGTGCGCTGAATTCGGGACCCCAATAGAGAATAAAAACCGAAAACTTACAGACAAAACTACTGGAAGTCAACACGTCTGCCCCCAAGTCTTGCTGGATCCAGGGCAAAAACCCGTTCAGAACAGTTAACAAATCTCCGATGGCGACCGCAATGAGAAAAATGCAAGTGGGAGTACGGCGAAGTTGTGGTCTGCTGAAAACTACGATAGCAATGACATTGAAAATGGTTCCAAGAACCGAAACCGTTGGTCGACCGTACAGGCGAATCGTCTCGGCTGCACACAGAAGACCATTGCCGGTTTGCTCGCAAAGCTCCTTACTCGTCTGCCCTTGGTCCTCTAGAATAACCGTGCAGTTTATACCATTGTCGCTTTCTGGAAATCTTTCCCCGCCTTCGAATGTCTCGTTCGCTTCAAAATGAAATATCGCCATTTTCACAAAGCTCTCAGATCTCTTAGTTTCACAAGATAGGCTTGTGTTGCATACATAAAATGAGAGGCACCACTTCCGTATTTAGTAGCTGAATCATTGCCGCCTGACTATAAATATGCGACCTCTGCAGTTTGCTGTAGCTTTCTGTTACGGCAATAATACATAATCAGCAGAGCATATCAGTTAAGCATACTCTATTCGATAATATGGCTAACAATCGAAACACGGAAAATCCCGGAATCGTCAACGATAAGTTATTTGTCCATATGACATTTTGTTTGACCGAGCAATTACAATATGCAGGGCTATGAAAATGCGGGGCCGTAGCGATAGTCCGAAGGTTCAATAGTCCGAAGGTTCATTGGTCCGAATGTTCACTATAGAACCTTCGGACCAATGAACCCTTGATTAAAAAATCGATGAAAATGCTACCACTTTTCGGACCAATGAACCTTCGGACCAATGAACCTTCGGACAATCGAGACGCCCCCGAAAATGCAGGGCTGTGGGGGATGGGAGGGGCTGTTAACAATATTATGGAAGAAGTTGTGTACCGATTTGATGATTTTTTTTAAACTTTCGGGAGGGGGCCAAATGACAAACGATGAGATTTGGTAGTAATCCATTAATTTTTATTAAATTAAAATTAACTAATTGATAAATTGTTGATTATTAGTTACTTATTTGTTTGTCTGTCTGTTAGCAACATTACCGAAAAAAGGTTGTTATGGATAACAAGGATTTTGATTAGTTTTTATTTGTTGCGTAAATCAAAAATTGGCTTGATTTTGTAGGTGATGCATTAAATTAATTAGGTTATTTATTGATAAAAAAACGAGAATTGACTTTATTAATTGTGTAACAAATTGTTGATAATAATGAGAACTGCACTGCTTTGGCTGAGATCAGCGCGCGCTCTCTGAGTGCTTCTCAATTATTTTTATTGAATATTAGAATTTTCCCTCCTTGTCTATCAGAAGTATTTTATCAATAAATTTCAGTCCGGGTTTAGGTATAAAACTCGTAAGGAAAACTAGCTCCTGCGTGCTGCCTTTCTTACTAAACACATTCGGTTATCACATCTATCGCAATCATTGAGCTCCTTGTGGGAGTAACTGCTTGACGTAGTAATCTTTCAATCCGGTAACAATGTGTAAATGTCTAACAAATCATGTTGATTTATGTATACATGTACCTCCCATATATTTATTATTCAGTTCGTGCCATACCTCAGCATTTCCATCTCGTTTAAGTTCCCGGCTTCAGCTGTTCTAGGCAAACAGGCCTATCAGTCTATAAAACGTTTCTTACAAGTACTGATTATGTGGCCTAGTTAACCCGAGGGCGCCCGTAAAAGTATAAACAGGCATGTCCGCAGATTTTATTCGAATTATCTGACATGTAGGGCATTTGTTCACACCTCCATCTTGTGATTTCTAGGCACTTTTAATTTAATGCGGCAATCTCCTCAACCGAGCAGCGTTGCAGATCCCTGACAAAACGCAGCAAAGTCGAAAGAAGCGGTGCTAGGATGGCTGGCCTGCTGCAGTACTTTTGGGCAGAGGCAAGGCAGCACAAGGAAACCATAGTGATATTTAGTAGGTAGGTTGAGTAAATAATAAAATTGGAGACAAGGTGCAGACTTTGATAAGCAAGTAATATCAGTATCTTTATTCAGCTTTACCCTCCACACTGTATGTATAAATGAATGTTTGGAACAATTGTAGCTAGCTTACTTTTAATTTGTTTGGTTTTTAGTTTTTTAAAACCAACAGATTAAAATCTGTTTATTATCTTAGCTCTACTACCACTACATCTGTGGTATATATAGGGGGGGGGGGGGGGGGGGGGTCCTGACCCCCTCTTCAGTTTCTGAAAAATATATCACACCAATATTCCCCTCTTGAAATCGGAATTTCGACTACCTGAATCATAGTTCTAAACTGTTCTGTTCTGACAAAGTTTTTTTGCACAACTTGGTCATCAAACAGTCGATCAGCTACATGTACATGTATATATGCATTCAACTCTCCATTCCCCAGGGCTAATATGGAGCAGGAATTATCTGTTTCAATCTGCATCAAACATAGAAACATTGCTTTACTCACTGTGAGTAGTTTAAATTGACACAGCTTAGCTTTTTTTTCTATCTCTCTATTTCTATAGGTATCCTGTGCCAGGCAAAGCCAAGACAAGACTCATCCCACTTCTGGGTGATGCTGGAGCCGCACTAGCCCAGAGGTTCATGGTTAGTTTGGAATGGTACAACTGGCACCATGCCAAATGCTAATAAACTTCGAACTGGCCAGTAATTTTTTTTTTTTTTTTTAATTTGTACAGTTACTGGTCAGCCATAAACCTGTAGGTTTCTGTTGTCTACTAGAATTTAATTTCTTTATTGACAGCTGCCAGGAGACTTTGTAACTAAATAGTGTGAATTTTGAAGAAAATAAAGTTTTTAATTTGTGAGATGTTTGAAATTTGTGTATAATTACCTTATTCATTAATTTTATTTATTTATTTATTTATTTATTTATTTATTTATTTATATTTTCAGACAGAGCATATTCTAGATGTTGTCCATAGGTTCCAGTGTCAGCACCAGTCAGTCAGGGTGGAAATACAATACTATGGTGGCACAGATAGTGAGATGAGGTACTGGATGGACAGAAGAGTGGAGAAAAAGTTGTCATGGAAACCACAGAGAGGAGACACCCTGGGGGACAAGATAAAGAATGCTTTTGAAGATCACTTTGCTCAAGGAGAGGAGAGAGTGCTAGTAGTAGGTATGCCAAACTTCATGGAACAACAGATACTTAATTCTTTGTTGAAATATACAGAAACCTGAAAAATGTTGGAGATTCTGGACAAATTTAAAGCACAACAATTAAAGTAATACAGCAAACATAATAACTTTTCTGAAAATTTCATCAATTTTCCCTTAAACATCATTCTATATGTACCATAACTAACACATTTTCCAGAACAAGAATCAATAAAACCCTCTCTGAGTTTTAATTTTAAAACTGAATTGATAAGATAGGATGAATATTTGTATTCTAGGTAGTGATATTCCAGGAATCAGTGTAGAAATCTTGGAGGAAGCTCTGGACATGCTGCGGTCAGAGGCTAGTCAGATGGTCTTAGGAAAGGCCCTGGATGGGGGATACTACTTAGTTGGACTGCAAAGAAAAACCCAGGGGCAGCTGGGTAGGGGTGCACTATAATTTTTAACTACATATATTATTGGTATTTTACCAGGACTTTCACTTGAAAATAAAGACTGAATCAAAACTTTAAAGAGCTTTTTAAAAACTAGAAAAGCACTCCGAGAGCACAGACCTCCACCAAGGCAGCAAATTTTGATTATTATTGATTATTGATCGATTATTGATCCAGATCACCACCAAAAACTAATCATCTGTTCCTTGGCCCGCTTCTGACAATTCCTGAAAATTTCATCAAAATCGGTCCATAACTTAGTTTTTTTATTATTGATTATTGATTGATTATTGATCCGGATCACCACCAAAACTAATGATCTCTTCCTTGGCCCACTTCTGACAGTTCCTGAAAATTTCATCAAAATCGGTCCATAACTTTTGATGACACTGACAGGCGGACAAACAGACAAACAAACAGGGGTGAAAACATAACCTCCTTGGCAGAGGTAATTAATATTGTGTTTGAATACTTGCTCTTCATATATAATTTCATTAATTGGGTCTGCAGGACAAGAAAAAATGACAAGAATCATAGATTTTTCCAAATTATACCATTTATATTCGATTATATATATATACATTTTTTTTTTTTTTTTTTTTGTGTGTATTTACATTGTTCATAACACCAGCTTATATTCTTGATTGTTTTGACAGATGAATTGTTTGCTGGTATGGACTGGGGCACAGACAAAGTGTTTCGCCAGCAGTGTCAGGCAGCAGACAGGGCAGGGATAACAACCAATGTCCTGACTGCACAACTACAAGATGTGGTACTGTATGTGCTTACAGAATGTGCTTTGCATAATCAAATGTCAAACTGAAAATTGATAAAAAATCTGAAGAAATTTTTGAAGAAAAAATACAATCATGTAAGTTTCAAGTTATGTGTACCAGTATATTATTGATACCAGAGGAGGGGTGTAGAAGGATCGATAACATGTATATGTACTGCAAAGCTTCTGAATAAGTACCAAATCCTGGTCATTTCTTCCCAGCTTGTGACCCAGCAGCCTATTTTATATTGACCTTGGCAGCCTCCAAGACAGGCCTGGTTGTACTGTAAATGATTCATCTCCCGAGTACTACATTCATTCAAAATGATTCTACGCCTACTGCAATTACTTGATCTTTTTTTTTTCAAAATTAAAAGGGAGGCTGCCCTATAGTTGTATTCTTTGCAGAAATATAGCACCACATATGCTATACAGAAATATAATTTTGTGATTAAAAAAATTATGTATTTGAAAGTTTGATAATTTTTGCCTATTGAAAAGAGCGAGTCATTACCATATATTTTTGGAAAAAGACATCAAAATATTGGACAAGTGTTTTAATACAAAAAAATGTAATTCTAACTTTAGCTGTTGTTGTGTCTCAGAAACTGTAATTGTAACTGAGTACTGCATCTGTGGTGACTTTACTTACAGGATTTGCCAGAAGATATCAAAGAGTTTGAGAAGGTTATTGGTGTATCCAGTGACTCACTAAGAACACCCAAACTCTCAGTGGTTATTCCTACACTGAATGAGGCAAGGACTATTGGATCTTGCATACAGAGATTGTTAGAGGTAAAAAAAACTTGCCTGTTATCACAATATAACACGCCCATAGCCAGTAATTTCAAAAGGGGGGTTCTTTTTCTGAAAAAAATGGACCTTCTCCCATAAAAACTTCATGTACCTAGANAGCATATTTGAGAGGAAAGAATGCTGATTTGGGTGGTTAAATTGTAACAAGGTCTGTCATTGGACAAAAATGGAAGGAAATCAATTTTTGAGCCACAATTATTGCCACATATTTGCTCTTATTTATAGACAACTCACACTCTATAATAGAACCAGGAAATGTATTAATCTAACAGTGGTGTACCATCCCCCTGCCCCTCATTGTTTTAGCCCCTCCCCACAGAGACTTAGTGCAACCTTTTTCAGCTGAGCTAGCAAATGATTTCCTTGGGATCAAAAAAGATTACTTGCTAATTTAAAAAGCAGTATATTTGCAGACGCATATAAAAATGGATAAGAATATTGTACATGTAGCAGTTTGTGTATATGTATCAAACTAGGTTGACAATGATTTATTTTCATGAATAATTGAAACTTGTTGGCTGATTTGAATTTAAAATACACTGTCCTCTATTTGGATCATGTTACAGCAATGCTCGGATACTAACATGCTTGGCGAGATAATAATTGCAGACGGTGGGAGCAAAGATGACACACTGACATTAATAGAGCAACTGCAAGATGGGACAAATGTTCCAATAATTGCTATCAACTGTGACAAAGGTAATTGGTGAAATATTTTTAAGCATTGTTCATTGTTCATTTATAATGAATTTCTTGTTGCACTGGAAATCAGTAGTTCTGTATAGTAAAACCAGAACACAGCACTCTAGCAAGCAAACCTAAAATGCAAATGTGGTGAGTCATGTTCCTCTATAAAATAAAATTTGTACTGCGTGTTTAGTGATTTCATAATTGATAATTTCAGGTAGTATGTTTTGAAATTTTGTTTTCATCTTTGTATTGTACGCTGCACTAAGACTAATATGGAGTGCAGGTTTTAAAGCAGTCTTTATTGTTTATGTTATTTATATTTTAAAGCAGTCTTTATTATTTTTTTTACTTACTCCCTGGATTTACCTTTGTATTATTTATTTATTTATTTATTTATTTATGCACATGCTGCAGATAAAAAGCAAAACATCATCAAATTGTTACACTACAACTTCATTAAATTTTTCTGCAGCATGTACACAGAGTGCCTCATTCCAGGTCGAGGGGTGCAGCTAAATGCAGGAGCCAAGGCCGCGACAGGCGACATCGTACTGTTCCTCCATGCAGACACCAAACTCCCAGATGACTTTCATGTTTCGATCCTCTCCTGTCTGAACACACCTGGTAATGTGGCTGGGGCTTTCCCATTTGATGTCTACTTTTCTGACGGGTATGGAAATGTGAGATATGATAATTACTGAGAGCAAGAAAAGAACAATGTGTCTGGCCTAGCTGTCACATCAGTTGTGGATAATTTTTATGACACTGATAAATTACAGCATGTGACATCTTATTGTGCAATGTATAGGGGTCTGATATTTAAATAATTCCATACAAACATAAAAATGCATATTTTTCAAATGTCTCACTTTTTGTGATATTTTACTTTTTCTTGACAATTTTTTCTCACACACTCACAGCACTATTTTTTGACACGAAGCCAACTAACTTTTCAAAACTTTTGTATCAACATCTTCAAGTATTGCTAACAAAACATGTTTGTTATTTCTTGCTGTTTAAATTTCTTTAGTTACCTGTAATAAAGCGTCATAAAGTGGACTTTAAAAGATGGAAAGATGCCCTGTTAAGACAAATCTCTTGAAGACAGGTCTAATTTAAATCTAAAACTTGCCAAAAATTTGATTTATGTACACAAGTTTTCATGAATGCTGAAACATAAGTAAACTTATCAGAATATGTGACAAAAATAAGCCAAATTTTTTTATGAATTATTTCCAGCTTTGAGCCCTCTTTCCTTTTTGGTATACAGATGGATATTGTAAAATGGGGTGCTAGGCAGAGAAACATAAAAATGGGTGAGGTGTTTCTTTCTTTCTTTTCAGAAATGGATAATTTCATTGTGGAATAGTTTAAGCAGTATTGCCTGTGCCAGTTTTGGTTTGTGCCATGCAAGTTAAACTGAGACAGTGCACCTAGGAACCTAAAATTTTTGGCATTTTTTCCTTAAAAAAGGAAAACAGATCTTTTAAACAATGGAAAAAGGATATCATCCTAAATTACTAAAAAAAAGTCATCTAAACTTGAAAAATATTCAGAAAATCATCTGTCTTAGATTAAACTGTAACAGTATTAATTTTTTTATCACAACATAATGAGAACCCCTTTTAAATGAGGTTCTGCTTCATATTATGATCTGTCTTGCAGAACTACCGTATGGAGACCAGGGAATTTTCTTAAGAAGACAAATTCTTGAGAAGATTGGTGGGGTACCTGAAACCCTTTTGTTTGAGGACTTTATCTTGGTAGGTGGAATAATATCATGGCATTTGTAGTTATATGATATGCATTCAATGAGTCAGGAACAGAAGAGAAACTGATTGAAATTGATTATATTTTTGGGTATTTTTTAATTTCTTGCTTCCAAGTTTTTTTACAGATATTTCAGATTTGCAGTGTCATGAAATATGAATCATCTGTTAAACCTAAATTACATATGCCACGGTTGCCATTAGATAAAATAATATACAATTTATGTGTGATTTTTGTGACATCATACATTAATTGCAGTTGCTGCACACCTTCCATGCAGCTTCCTTGAGGCCAAATATGCAGTTGGTGCAGATCTCTACAATTTTTAGCACCCATGTGGTCAGAATGAGAAAATGCTCAACTTCAAATTTGTGCAAGTGAATTACACTGTTTTAAACTTCTTTAATATTGTTATGCCTCCTAAAACAACCAAAAGTGGGAGGAAAAGAGACCAACAACAGGTTTGAACATTATAGTGATGTGTCATGCCACCTGCAATAATGCTATGATGTGCAGCCTTACAATTTTCAAAATTTGTCAAAATTTTTAGCTTGACAATATCTTTTGAGGCTATGGAGGCTGTAAATCCATACAAATTTTGCATAGCTGCCTCTGCTCAGACACCACACAAAAATAGATTTAGTATAGGAGTGTCATGTGGACATCGCATGGCAAATTTAACCTAGTCTTTATGCTTGAAAGTGAAACTGGCCAAATCTGAAACAAAAGGATANAAGTGTTTGAGCCTAGAAAAATTAATTTTATAAAATAATTTTTGTGGTCGGATTGACTGGGCCCGTCGAAATGCTTGGCTCATTACCGTAGTACCAGGAAATGTATAAATCTAACAGTGGTGTACCATCCCCCTGCCCCTCATTGTTTCAGCCCCTCCCCACAGAGACTTAGTGCAACATTTTTCAGCTGAGCTAGCAAATGATTTCCTTGGGATCAAAAAAGATTACTTGCTAATTTAAAGAGCGGTATATTTGCAGACGCATATAAAAATGGATAAGAATATTGTACATGCAGCAGTTTGTGTATGCATCAAAGCAGGTTGACTTTGATTTATTTTCATGAATAATTGAAACTTGTTGGCTGATTTGAATTGATAATACACTGTCCTCAATTTTGGATCATGTTACAGCAATGCTCGGATACTAACATGCTTGGCGAGATAATAATTGCAGACGGTGGGAGCAAAGATGACACACTGACATTAATAGAGCAACTGCAAGATGGGACAAATGTTCCAATAATTGCTATCAACTGTGACAAAGGTAATTGGTGAAATATTTTTAAGCATTGTTCATTTTTCATTTATAACAAATTTCTTATTACACTGGAAATCAGTAGCTCTGTATAGTACCAGGAGACATCTCTTTAGGAAGCAAACTGAAATGCAAGGGTGGTGAGTTATGTTCCTCTATGAAATAAAATTTATATGGCATGTTTAATGATTTCATAATTGATCATTTCAGGTAGTATGTTTAAGAATTTTGTTTTCATTTTCATATTGTACACAGCGCTAAGACTAATATGGAGTGCAGGTTTTAAAGCAGTCTTTATTATATATATTATTTATATTTTAAAGCAGTCTTTATTATTTTTTTTACTTACTCCCTGGATTTACCTTTGTATTATTGATTTATTTATTTATTTATTTATTTATTTATGCTAATGTGCAGATAAAAAGCAAAACATCATCAAATTGTTACACAACAACTTCATTAAATTTTTCTGCAGCATGTACACAGAGTGCCTCATTCCAGGTCGAGGGGTGCAGCTAAATGCAGGAGCCAAGGCCGCGACAGGCGACATCGTACTGTTCCTCCATGCAGACACCAAACTCCCAGATGACTTTCATGTTTCGATCCTCTCCTGTCTGAACACACCTGGTAATGTGGCTGGGGCTTTCCCATTTGATGTCTACTTTTCTGACGGGTATGGAAATGTGAGATATGATAATTACTGAGAGCAAGAAAAGAACAATGTGTCTGGCCTAGCAATCACATCAGTTGTGGATAATTTTTATGACACTGTACAAATTACAGCATGTGACATCTTATTGTGCAATGTATAGGAGTCTGATATTTAAATAATTCCATACAAACATAAAAATGCATATTTTTCAAATGTCTCACTTTTTGTGATATTTTACTTTTTCTTGACAATTTTTTTTCACACACTCACAGCACTATTTTTTGACACGAAGCCAACTAACTTTTCAAAACTTTTGTATCAACATCTTCAAGTATTGCTAAAAAAACATTTTTGTTATTTCTTGCTGTTTAAATTTCTTTAGTTACCTGTAATAAAGCGTCATAAAGTGGACTTTAAAAGATGGAAAGATGCCCTGTTAAGACAAATCTCTTGTAGACAGGTCTAATTTAAATCTAAAAATTTGATTTATGTACACAAGTTTTCATGAATGCTGAAACATAAGTAAACTTATCAGAAAATGTGACAAAAATAAGCCAATTTTTTTAATGAATTATTTCCAGCTTTGAGCCCTCTTTCCTTTTTGGTATGCAGATGGATATTGTAAAATGGGGTGCTAGGCAGAGAAACATAAAAATGGGTGAGGTATTTCTTCCTTTCTTTTCAGAAATGGATAATTTCATTGTGGAATAGTTTAAGCAGTATTGCCTGTGCCAGTTTTGGTTTGTGCCATGCAAGTTAAACTGAGACAGTGCACCTAGGAACCTAAAAATTTTGGCATTTTTTCCTCAAAAAAGGAAAACAGATCTTTTAAACAATGGAAAAAGGATATCATCCTAAATTACTAAATAAAAGTCATCTAAACTTGAAAAATATTCAGAAAATCATCTGTCTTGGATTAAACTGTAACAGTATTAATTTTTTTATCACAATATAATGAGAACCCCTTTTAAATGAGGTTCTGCTTCATATTATGAAATGTCTTGCAGAACTACCGTATGGAGACCAGGGAATTTTCTTAAGAAGACAAATTCTTGAGAAGATTGGTGGGGTACCTGAAACCCTTTTGTTTGAGGACTTTATCTTGGTAGGTGGAATAATATCATGGTATTTGTAGTTATATGATATGCATTCAATGAGTCAGGAAAAGAAGAGAAACTGATTGAAATTAATTACATTTTTGGGTATTTTTTAATTTCTTGCTTCCAAGTTTTTTTTACAGATATTTCAGATTTGCAGTGTCATGAAATATGAATCATCTGTTAAACCTAAATTACATATGCCACGATTGCCATAAGATCAAATCATATACAATTTATACGTGATAATTGCAGTTGCTGCACACCTTCCATGCAGCTTCCTTGAGGCCAAATATGCTGTTGGTGCAGATCTCTACAATTTTTAGCACCCATGTGGTCAGAATGAGAAAATGCTCAACTTCAAATTTGTGCAAGTGAATTACACTGTTTTAAACTTCTTTAATATTGTAATGCCTCCTAAAACAACCAAAAGTGGGAGGAAAAGAGACCAACAACAGGTTTGAACATTATAGTGATGTGTCATGCCACCTGCAATAATGCTATGATGTGCAGGCTTACAATTTTCAAAATTTGTCAAAATTTTTAGCTTGACAATATCTTTTGAGGCTATGGAGGCTGTAAATCCATACAAATTTTGCATGGCTGCCTCTGCTCAGACACCACACAAAAATGGATTTAGTATAGGAGCGTCATGTGGACATCGCATGGCAAATTTAACCTAGTCTTTATGCTTGAAAGTGAAACTGGCCAAATCTGAAACAAAAGGATAAAGATTTTAAAACATTTATTAAATGAAAAAGAAATGATGTTTAAAAGACCAAGAGGTACTTTTTTGTTTTTATTTTGTCATTCTTTTGCATTTTGGTTTAAAAGCTGTGATGCAATTTTCTGATATTGTTTGAGGTTCTTAATTTATTCGCATATACCCAGTACAATATATTTACCTTTGCTAATAGTTGAGATCTCCCACCCTCCCTATCCCTGTTATCGACAGATTTATAAATAATCTCACATTGCCGTGCTTCATTTTTAAGGTCACCTCAATTCTGCCATTAAGCAGACAAATAAAAAACCAACCCATGAGTAGAGGAATACGAGTAACCCTTGCTTTGGTGGTGTGC